TTTTAGAAGGAGTGTGGAGAATCTAGAGGGGTTTCAGAGAAGAACTTTCAATATTACTGAAGTTATGGGAAGTAAAAGTAATTTTAATATAAAATAAAATCTGAAGAAATAGGGTATGCTTAAGTAAGACAGGAAGTTTGGGGAACTATCCCAGTGGTTACAGGTTTTAGCCACCAAGGTAAAGGGTGAAATTTGAATATCTCAGGTAGATTTGATAAAAAGGGAATTGTAGTCAGGATTAGAAAACCAAATGTTTCTGTGGTAAGTAAACAGACTAATGGCTAGAGTAAGAAAATCAAGAAACCAAAAGCAATCTCAATTGTATGCCAACTGTTTAAGCTTTACTTAAAGTAAAATTAGAGTATGAAACCTGTTTGAACAATATATGAGTACAAATCCAAAAAAAGCCCCCAAAACAACAAAAAAGCATACATAAATGCTCTGAACAACGCAAAAACTTCCACCTAGTAAATACATAAACAGCACTTGTTTAAATGCAACATATATTTTATACTGACCTCTGCAGTCAGTTTTAATCAAAGGCTACACAAATATTTTGATGTGATTGGTTTCAACAGTTTAAACCCAATTTTGATGTGAAACAGAAAAGCCCATGAGCTGATGGCCACAGCACATGTAGAGGAATGACTCCCAACAGACTTGCTAAAGAAAAAAAAAGAAAAATCTGGATCACTGCTAATGTTCAGATCTGAAATGAAGAATGAGGTAATTTTATTCCTCCATTGTAGGATTCCGTACCGTGTTCTAAATCCTAGATCATACATAAAATTTTAGACCAGGAAGGAGCCTTAGCAATACTGGCCCAAGCCTCCCATTGGACAGATGAGCAAGGTAAGGCTGGACGGGTGTGAGTGATGGGGAGGTCATGGCGTGGGCCCAGGCCTCCAGCTTGGACACTCCCTGAAACAAATGAGCGTTGGCTTGTTGTGGAAGAGAATCTCATGTGTGGCTCTGTCCGGTTTTCTGAAGCCCTTTGACTAGCTTCTTGGTCATACCAGCTGTAGATAGTTACAGGATCAGTACATGATTAAGCAAACCAAAATGTGTCATTGAATCCAGGAGAGCCACGGCAAGCCTTGGGGATGTGGCACCCCTGGGGTAATGGGCCCACTTCACGGTCACATGCCAATGCTGTGGGGTGCCGGATGATTGGTGTTGATGTGTACCCTGTACCTCCTTTGTTACGCAAGAGCAGTTTGAACTTTGCCTTCAGTAGCTGGTTCAGCCAAACTGTGGGTCCCCCCATGTTCACAGCCCCACACTTAAGGGAACTGGCATCCACCTGGCTGTAATGTTTCCCAACTCCGAGGCGCCGTTTCCTGTCTCTGGCTTATAGTTGGGGAGTATTTGCCTCTAAATCTTACAGTAATGACCAGTCTCCATGTCACTGAATTTCCGCAAAGTTGTACAGTGAAGGGTACAGCCATTTTTAGCTGGTCTGTCCCCACCTGCCCCCTTCTTTAACCTTAGGGAACCACTTGTACCCCTGGAGAGAGAAGGGTTCCTAGTTCTTGTGCGCTTTTATATACATGTTGCAGAAGCTGACGTCAAGTCTTGTTAGTAAAGTGCACTTTAAGATACATGGCCTAACTTAGAGGTACCATATAAAAAACATTTGCTGAATCTATGAAAGTGCATATATCTTATGCAGTCTTTTAGAGACCCTGGTTGACTGCAAATGAAGTGGAGGAAAAAATATTATCACTAAAATTAAATATTTTTGAAGGTATTGGCTTATAATTTTCCTGGAACCACTTGGACTTGGCAAAAATAATATATATATATATTTTTAATGATTTTGGAGGCCCACCTTTGGTGCTTTTCCTAGCAGAGAGCTGCAGCAGCTAATAGATCTACCCTCCCCTCCTGAGAAGAAAATGAGGTCTAAACTTAAAACAAGGTCTCATCACCTCTTCATTCTTTTTTCCTTTTGCGATCAGGCAATACATTATATGATTTGTTACGCCTTTTCCGACATCTGAGTACAGTTTGGGTTATTTTGATTACATAATGTAATTTCTCTCCTTTTGAACATCTGTGTAATCAGTTTTAGACATTTTGCCTTTGAAAGGGCAGGCAACAGGGCCTTCAGATTTTTCTTCAGATTTCTCTTCAGATTTTCTCTACATCCTGTTTTATGTGTGGTTAGATCAGTTGATGAGTCACATGATGTTTTGCTGCTTCAAATGACAGAAATAAAGATTCAAAATAACCACAGAGAGGAGTATCTCGAATGCTCACCAAACATGTTGCTCAAAAACATGCTTTTCTACAGTTTAAATGCTTTTTATACACCAGCTGTCAGAGGGCTGGGTGTGAGGCGCCGTCTACAAAGGGCTGCAGGAGCAGCTGGCTTACTTCCACACCGCGTCTCTCAAAGCCCTACCACATGCTGCAGTGTCATTTTGGTTACAGAAATGGCAGGGGCAGGACTTAGAACATAGAAGACCCCTCTTCCTGGCCTGCGCACTGGTTTGATTGATGAAGACCTCATCCTAAGTGTAGAAGTCAGCGCAGCTGGAAGTTGGAACAAACCAGCACATGCTGTCCAGGGCACTGGTCTGCCAAGAGAGATTCTAGAGTAGAAAGATGTTTAAATACAAGAAAATAGTTCTCAGGGAATGTAATTTAATCACAACAATATATTTTCTATTTTGCAACACACACACACACTCTCTTCACTCCCACCTTCAGTTTGAAGGAAAAAAAATTCAGTCAGAAAGCTACTGAGCCTTTAAATTGATGTGATTTTGGAAACCAAGGGTACAAAAAAGGTTACCCTCCCTCACCCTTTCCCCCCAGAAGAAAAAAATCCCCATTTGGGGAACAATTAAGAGGGTAGGGGGCTGGTGACATTTTTCATTCTAAAGACATAATTGGATAACTTTTCTGATAGCTGGGACACGTAATGGCTGTCCTGTCCCAACCCTGAGAGATCCAGATGGGGAGTGAGGACATGGAGCTGGCCAGGCTGGGACGCAGCCTGGAGTCTGGAGAACATGGCCCAGTCCCCTCACTGTCCTGGGAGCCCCCAGGCTCCCGCCCCCTGCACCACCCAAGGTTACTTACTGGGAGGACTCAGTGAAGTATAAAGTGCTTTGCTATTGTAATGAAGCTTTCCTCAGCCCCATCTGCTGTATCCTAAACCAATGTTATTATAAATGTTTTAGTTTCTTAGGAGAATCAGGTATCCATGGATATTTCCCAGCCAAACTACCTGCTAATGCTAAAAATCAAAACAAAACAAAAAGCAAAAAGAAGAGTAACTCCGGCACAAGACAAGGCCCAACACAGGCAGTGACTGGCTTTTACCCAGAGATGCAAACAAATGGCCTTCCATGCCCCAATTAAAGAATCCCAAAAGAGGGTTTCCTGCCAATGTGCAAATCCTTCAGTACTCCCTGAGCCACGTGGCCAGCAGGTCCAATCCTATCATGACTCCTGGAGCAAGCCTCGTCTAGTTCTTCTTGCTCAGGTCTCGGGTGTCTTACTGATGCCCTGTGCTGCTGAGATCCCTGTAGGTCGGTGCAGAACAAATGGCAATTGCACATTTAGAATGACCTCCCGTGTGCTCCTCAAAAAAAACAAAATGAAAAAACGAGAGGGGCCACCGAAGGAGCTGATCCTGACCTCAGCTTGCTCAGAGAAAATCCTTACTATATATTTACTTGCTATCTATGCTTTGAACTGCCCAAACTTATTTCTCAGCATTAAAGGAAAAACTGCTTTATGCCCTTGTATTTTTAGATTGTATTTGTCTACAAGCAATCACTCAACTTTGACAAAGTCACACTTGGTCTTTCTGTGGTCCTTGACATGAGAATCTCACAGGCCTCGTGCCCTTCTAAATGTATCATCTGTCAGCTGCACTCCCTGCGGTGAAAAATAGACAAGGATGGGAGAACATTTCTTTGGTCAGCAAAGTCAAAGGATTGCCCCTAACAACTCCGAAAAGCAGGAAGGAGAAATTTGCTCCCCCGGTTTGATCTCTTCTGTGTCTATCTGGATGATAGAATTCTTGGTTAAAACAGATGCAGAAGAATAGACTAGCTCTAAGTTTTGCCGTAGGAGTTCAGGTGTTTGGTAGGCCATGACTTAAGCAACCCAAGTGAAGGCAACGTATGAAGGATCATATGCTTCAAGGTGAAAGTTTGAACAAGTCTTGCAAAAATCACAGCTTCATGGCCTGAGTCTGGCATTGCTTCCTGTGTTCTCAGAAACTCTAACGAAATAGCCCATTAATCTTTATCACTGAAGGTGTCTCTGGAGTTATAATTACATATTTTTGTTGCATAACGAAGAGGCTCTAGCTTATCTTTCCTGAACTTGGAAAAGATTTGCTTTTTCAGTATGATCTCTAAGCTCCAACCCTAGAAGCATGAAAGAGTCACGTGTGTTTAAAAATACTGCTGTTTAATTTTCTAGTTATGCACTTTAAAAAAGCTAATACAATTAGATGGGTTTTTTTTTCTATCCTCTTAGCTCTGCCCTTGAAACCACTGCAAAATAGCTGTGTATCTTAATTTTCAGATATATATGTATAAATGGAGGAAAAGCCGCTCTGAGAAGCACGAAGGACATGTCCCCATGGTGGGCATGCCCGAAGGCAGTAGGTATCCAGAAATGTGAATGCAGCCCTGTTGTGTTCACAGCTAACTTTATGCCCTTACGTTCTTCTTTTTCATGAAGAACAATATGATTACATAGCACTGAAAACAAGACACGAAAGACCTGCCTTTTTCTTTCTTTCTCTTTTTTGCCCCTTCCAGCTTACACTTTCATTCCCACTATTGTCTATGCCAGTGGGCCCATTTGTCCCCAGGTTACCCATAATGAAAAATAGTTCTCTTGTCATTTACTGACCGTTACATTCACATGCAAATGATGGACTTTGTAAAACTGCTGCCAATAAGGTACAATTCTCATCGATACAATACGTTTCAGCTGCAGGTATGTGGAACACGCAAGCAATCACCGTATTGTATTAGAGACATTTTATTGAAAATGCGAAAATAGGAAATGTATTATAGCCTAAAATAAATTACATAACATATACAGCATATATTTATATCTTTAAAATATTTTTTTTGTTTAGGTTCTTTCAGTCTAGGAATTTTGACTAAACAATTTAGTGAACTGTGTCCATAATTTTTTAAAGGAAGAAACCCGCTTTCCAAAACTTAGAAAAATATACTGCACTAAATGGATTTCAAATGCGTTATTTCAGGGAGCATCACATAGTGACTTTGCTATCGTTAGAAAACGTCTTGCTTTATCATGTGGTGTGAGAGGGGTGTACCACAGAACGCTGGATTACCGGAACTGCGCGGTTAGGACTAAGAACGGCAGAACCAGGTAATACATCTACTTCAAAAGTTACAATACAGCAACCTGGCATTAGAATGCTAGATTATGACTTAAAGCTTCAGTTCACTGTAAAACTAAAATGTAAAGTTAGAATGCTCCGTTTCACTCGCTCTGGTGCCATCTTCAGGAAAGGCGAGTGAAAAGCAAGCCTTTGGGGGAAGTCATGCGGAAGGATGCTGGAATCTGGAGATGCGCGCTTGTGACAACTTAGAAAAGTTAGCTCATGTATGTACACGGTGGGGGGTGAGAACTGACAGCTCACTCGAATCTGGGAAAACACAACGTGAAATGCTATCCTTCGACCGTGTCAGTTTGCTACTCCCATGGCATCTCAAACCTTTCTGCGGATTATTTCCATACATCATCGGCCCGGCGTGGTCCCAGATCTCTGATCCTCGGTGTGCACGGCGACTCCAGGCTGCCGCCGCCTTCTGCATGTGTGTAGCAGACAGTTTACACCTCCATGGCAGAGGGGCAACATACTAGGCCACCAGGATTACATCTCTGCACAGCCATGTGACTGGGAAGCAAATCGAAGGAAGCGGAGTTTTAACCTGTTGATTCTCAAAAGAGATGAAAAGGGACAGGAGAGAGTGTGTAGCCTGCTGGGCAGGGTGACCAAGAGGTGATGGCACAGCCGCAGTCCTTTGGTTCCAAGTGGAGATTGTCCGAGGGAGAAGGACACAACTTCGACCACAAGGCAGCTGTGTCTTGGAGTTTCAGGAAGCAGGGGCATGAAGTCAGTTTGGCTTGTTTTTACAAAGCAACAGTAAAGACCTTTCTCTAGGTCCCCACGTCAGTGTGAGCATACCTAGTATGCTGGAGAATTGACACGAAACCTTTGAATCAAGGCCTCTTTCATGACAAAAAAAAAAAAAAGAACAAAACACGATGGATGGGAGAGGGAAGAGATGATGCTGAAGTGTCGTCCTGACTGTCCCTGCAGTGCCCCACGGCGTCTCGTGCCTTATTCATTCTCCTCTCTCATTTCTACGATGTCTGTCACCTCCTCTGTCTGAGGCATGTCAGTCATGGCGGAGTCTTCCCCTTCTGTGGCTGACTCGTTCTCCATCTTCTTTTTCTAGACCAGAGAAGACTCATCAGTGTGGGGCTGAGGACAGGGACACACCATAGAACCACAAGCAGGGGGAGGCCGCCAGGGTCTCATTTGTGGTTAGGGCGACCTCATCGAGGCTGCCTCTTAGTTCAGCACGTTCCTTTCAGTGTGGTTATCTGTGCACCTGCTGTGTGCCTGGCACTTCAGGGGACATCGTGTCCCACCTCCCTGCCCCAGACAATCCCCACCCTGCCATTTCAAATGGCGGGGAGGCTGTGCTGTCCCTCATGCCGCATGGTCACCTGTAGGCTCTTTTCCCTTCCTCCTCCCTAAAGCCCTGAGCCTGGCATGTCATGTTATCAGAGTATTTCTCCTTGTTCTGGGACAGCTCTGGGCTTGCTGTCCTTCCTCATTCACTGCCTGTCCTAATTACTGGTGACTTTCCTGCCCTGTTGCCCGTCCTTGCAGTAAGTGGCCTCTCAGGGATCAGGCCCTTAGCCCCACCTCAGCAACTCCTGGGCTCACCACAGACCTTGTCATTATCTACCGTCCTCCACCCACCACCTCCTGGTCCCCAATCCACTGGTCCTTCCGTCCTTTCGCTGTGGTCACTTTGATGTCCCCCTCACCTCTTTCATCAGCTTAAATGAAAAGCTCAATAATTGTAATCACTTCCTGGCCCTGCTTTTCCTTAATCCTACTTGCCAGGCAACAGCCTGACTATGCTTAGGCCCAAATCTCCACCAATCTCAGCTGCACCCCTGGGCTGCCATGGCTGGGGCAGCCTGTGGCTGGGGCATGGCCAGTGTCCTGATGTGCACGTCACAGGCCGCCCAAACAACCTGGCTGTCACACTCTGCTTCCCCAGCCCGCTGTTTCACACGCCGTCTTCTTTCTCCCAACCTCCAGCAGAGCTCTTTCCTCAGCTGAGGATCTGGCTTCCTACTTCACTGAGAAAACACAGCCATCCGATAAGCAGCTGTGTGAGCGCCCCACCCACCGCTGTCCCCCCACCCCAGGCCGGCATCTCCTGTCTGCTGGATCATTCCCCGACACAAACAACAAGCTGAACTTCACCCCATCTTAACCGGTTTTCTGAAATCCGTGTCCACACCTCTCTCTCCTTTAGAACAAACTCCTCAAGAGGGCCGTCTCTACGGGCTGTCCCCCTTTCTCTTGCCCACTTCCATCAGGCCCCTCGGCCAGACCGCCCTGCCCGATGCATTCCACCGTCCGACCCTGGTGCCCCCTGCACCGCAGCGGCGCCGTCTCACCTGCTTCCGGTAGACGTAGCACGCAGCGATGGCGACCATGGTGGATTCTCCCACGAAGCCGGCCAGGAGGGAGCCCACGCCCAGGGTGGCACCATGTACCCTGAGGATGAGAACGCACATCTGTCAAAGCCCAGCCAGGGCACAGCAAAGTCAACGCCAAGAGCAGGAAAGTGAGTGTCGCCTAGAGAGGGCGGAGACCAGCAGCGTCCCTGCTCTGCCGGCTTCCATGAGGGCTGCACCTAATGACAACCATCCCTCTGCATGGGGGCCTGGAACTCGGGGCTGAGCCGCACCCCCCCACAACACGTGGATCCCGGAACACTTCCCGCGCTCCTCCCCCAGGAGACAGAGCTCCCTGAGGGCAGGAACTGTGGCCTTCCTCCCTTCTGTGTTCACCTCCCAGCGTGTACCCCGAGCCCACCTGCGGTGGTAGGCACTCTTGAGCATTACACGTACATGGGCATGACCCCAAAAATACTTTTCTAGAATGGATCTCAGGAGCCTCAACCTGGTGCTCAGGCAGAAAAACAAAACATCATTCCGAATCTCTAATGCTAGAGATGCTTGGGGATTTCACATGAAGACGTACCTCTGGACAGGGTACTTAAGCGGCAGAAGGACCCACAGACCCGAATCCCCTGGCGACATACCCCAGGTAGGGCAGGACCACGAGGCTGGCGATGAGGACGATGATCCGCAGCACGGAGCTGGGTGCCAGGACGAAGGTCTTCTTCAGTGTCATCAGCCACCCGGTGAGATGGGCCCTCACAGTGACTGTGGGAAGAGCACAGGGCGGTCAGTGATGCCTGCCTCTGTCCCGTCCTGCTGCCTCGGCCAGAGCAGCACAGCCGACGTTCAGGGGCTGGTGGGGACCCAGGCCTTGCTGCTGTGGCCCAGCCCCTGTCCCCGCCTGGGCTTCCACCTTCTCTGAGCCCTTTGGATCCAGACGGCTGGCCGCAGGCAGGCTGCTTGTGCCACCGTGACCTCCATCTCCTGAGCAGACTGTCCTGCCCCACCCCCAGCCCAGCCTCCACCTCTGAGCGTCCATCTCTCACAGAGAAAACTCAGAGAAGAACTGTACCCTCACAGGGCTCTTGTTTGAAGCTGGGTGAGCAGAAAAGCTGAGACCAGAGCCATGTTCCCCTCCTGTGTCTGAGAGGTGTGGGGACCAGTGTGGTGGGCCAGGAGAGGGGACCACTCTATTCCCTGCAAGCTGCCCTGACCACCCCTCGCTCCTCCCTTCATCGTGCAGCCGTAGTAGTGCATGTTGTTACTTCACAATAACGTGTGCCCCTGAGCAGGAGTGCAGGGCACAGGGGACAGCAGGGATCGCTGCATAAGGGCATGTGCGGGACACAGCCTTGCACTTGTCAGTAGGAAGTGCCCTGAGCACCTAGATTCTATCTGAAGCTGGAAAGGGCTTGAGGAAGTGCAGGCCAGGGGGGGACCTTGAAGGGAGGGGCCCTTCACCTTCAGTGGGTGGCACCAGACAAAGGCTCTAGGAGGGGGAAGTGCTCACTCCTGGGATAACAACTCCTTTCCAGGGGATATTTGTTTAGAAGGAAGAATCTGGGTCTAACAGTGTCCTGCCTTTCCCAGGCTGGAAGCCTTGTACTTAGGAAGTTTACTCTCTTCCCTTAGGCACAGACAGACCCACAGTCATATGCTGATCTAGTTGGTCCAAACCAGACCATACTGGCCGGAGTAGCAGCTGCCCGGAAAGCCCCTCATCTTACAGGCTAGCAGTGCAGGCAAGAGGAGATAAAGGCCAGTCGCACACCCAGTGACAGCCTGCTCCCAGCGGGGTTCTCCAGCGCCCTCAGCTCAAGACCATGGGAAATGAATCATAGGTGTCTTAATCTCCAAGTGCAGCTTCCTCTAGGCAGTGTCACTTTCCAGAGCTTGGCTCACCCAGTGTCCACCCAGCAAAGTCCAGGCACCATCCTAGTGCAGTGATGTTCCAGCCATTCCTCCATTTCTGCCACAGCCCTGACAGTGACGCCACAAGACCTGGCCTCCAGGAGTGCTCAGTGTCTAAGAGCAGGGCTGCTTGTGGTCCTCCTTGGGGACAGCACAGGGCTAGCAGGGTACACCACTGGCCCTGGCCGGGACTAGCTCCATGGCTCCTTTCTTAACCTAACTGTGGCTTTGTAGATTCTAACTTCTCAGGTTAATGATTTAGGTGGATTTTTTCTGCAATTGATTTTTGTCTAGCTGACATACACTTGGTATAGAATTAAAAAGGTACAAAGGGAATACAGTATGAAGGTCTTTCTCCCAGTTGTGACTTCCCACCCCCTTGTCCCGCTTCCCACAGGCAACCACTGTTACCAGCTTGCTGAGTTACTTCTAGAAACAGATTAAAGTTACGCAAGCACTCACCATATACACACAATAATGAAGATATACATGTATATTTCCTATCCATTTGTTATAGAAATGGTCACCTACTGATTAGCCATCCTGCAACCTGCTTTTCTCGTTTAATCTAAAACTACCTGACTCTTGTATAGTATAGCTCAGACTGCTATGTCGGCTTGGTAATTTTCAAACCGCCTTATGTGTTGCCCACGGGCATTTTCCTTTCTGACCATACGCCATTGGCCTCAACTTGCACTGGAGTCTTCCTGTCTCCAGCAGTTCTCTGTGTACATCTCCAGGTTTCAGCAGTAAGCTCACTCTATTTTCTTTTTCCTTTTTCCACTTCACTTTTTAAATTAACATACTATAAAATTGGTTTTTTGCTGTATAGTTCTAAGAATTTTAATACATGCATAGATTTGTGTAACCACCAGCACAATCAAGACAGAGGGTAGTTCTATTATCCCCTCAAAATGCCACATGCTGTCTTTTCAGATCTATTTTCTTTTTTACTATGTTTACAATCACTGTGCTTTAAAAAACAACTTATGCCTGTTTGATTCATTTCTTGAAACTTTATCCTACTAGCTAATGTCTTTAGATCTTTCTAATCCACTGTGAAATTTTACATTTTTCTTGGTGACGTGATTGCAAACACTGCCAGAGAAAAATCGAGCATGACGATAAATAGGAATGTCTCTTTCATTCTCTATTTTTCTTTACCTGGAACTGGGAAGAAAGAGAAGATCCGCAAAGGAACGACACAGAGCTCTGCAAAGGCAAAGTCCACTCCAATGATGTCTATCAAAATTTTCTCAGAAACGTTGGGGGTCCAGAACATCACAAAACAGAGCTGGAGGGAAAAAAAGACATTGAACAAGGCTGTGAGGAAAAGGTATAAATGAGTGAAAGGGGAAAGGCAGGTGTTGCGCGACCCCCGAGGAGCAACTGTGAAAGATGGCGGACCTGCCCGTTGGTGGCAAGCACACAAGTCTGGGGGCTGCCGCCTCCCTGCCTTGCGAAGCAGATCAGGAAGTGCGGCAACAGGTCCTTCTGGAAGCTGGGGTGAGGGCAAGGCCCAGCACAGGCTGGCTGAAAGTCTAGATCGTAAGCAATTCACTCAGTTCATTCACAGTTCCACTTACAGTGCTAGCGACTGTGTCGCCCTAACTCGGTGGGACACAGGATTTTAGTCCCTGGATGAGGCAAAACAGGGTACCTGGCATGGCTCACGGCATAGTGACGACAGGCTGAGTATCCCTTATCTAAAACGCTTGGGACCGGAAGTGTTTTGGATTCCGGATGTTTTCAGATTTTGGAATACTTGCATTATACTTACTGGTTGAGCATCCCTAATTAATTCCGCATGGCCCCAGTGAACATTTACTTTCAGTCATGTCAGCAGCGCTCAAAAAGTTTCAGATCTGGGAGCATTTAGGATTTGGGGATTAGGGATACTCAATCTCTACATGGAAAACAAAGGAATTAAGGGAAGGATGATCTGTGTGTGCCAGCTTTCCTCCTCTCCTGGGCTCCCAGAACACGGAAAACCAGTAGAGTGCCACCCAGCGCACACCAGGCAGGAGACCCAGAGTGGTCTCTGAGGAATCTGACCAGCCCAAGGAAGAAAACCTAGAGTTCCTGAAATTAGGGCTCTCAACAAAGCAGCCCACTCAACCAGCCATCCGGGAGGCCTGCACGGTGCTAGATCTCACCTCGGTGGTCGCGGCTCCCAGCCAACTCCTAGTGCCCACTCACACGACTGCGGAACACCAGACGTTAACGCAGGCCTCTAATATGAAGAGGTCAAAACAAAGGCACAAAAAACAACACAGAGGAAACAAAGACAATGCAGAGACAGAGAGGGGGAAAAAAGCCTTTTTTTCCACTGACACTCTGAGAGATGGGAGAAGAAGCTGCATCCATGAAACAAGAACAGAATGGAAATGTTATAAAAAAGACAGTCACAAAACGAAAGAGAAGTTCTGGGAATTAAAAACATGAAAGCAGAAATGAAAAAGTCACTAACTGACAGGTAAAGTTAGGGAAATGTACCACCAAGACAGAACGGAAGGATAAAGGTATGCAAAGTACAGGAGAAGAGACTTAAAGAGTGAAGGTCCAACATTCAAGTAATAGTTGTTCCAGAAAGAGGGGACAGCAGAAATCTCAGAGCTGACAGGTCCCAGTGTCAAGACCGAAAGAGCCCATCAGGTGGAGGCGGCGCAGAGGGTGGGAGAAGACCTGCTGGGGCATGTCACCGAACACCCCCGGGGACAGAGAAAAGAGCCTGTGAGCTTCCGGCCTTCGGCTTCTCAACCGCACGGAAAGCTAGAAGACGTGGCACGGTAAGTTGGGAGGGAAAACGATTTCTGTCCTAGGACTCAACCAAACTGTCAGTCAAGTTGTGTTTAAAAGAAAGATATTTTCAACATTCAAGGCCTTCCAAAAGTTTGCCTCCCATGTATACTTTTTCCAGAAGCTATTGCAGGGCAGCGGGGGCAGGTATGCTCTGCCCAAGCAAGTGAGTCGCAGGGGAAGAAAGAGAAAGTCACGGGATGGGACACAGGCAAGAGCAAGGCGGGTCTCTGCGGCGGGGGAGAAGGGGGACCCCAGGAAGGCTTCAGGGCTGCTCATCTGCACCAGGGGGCTCTGGGAGATGCCAGCTACCTGAGGGGTTTGAATACAGGAACTAAGAAAAATTACAAGACAATTATTAAGTCCAGGAAAAACTGAAGATGTTTAAGAAAGGAAGGGAACCAGGGCTCAGCTGTCATACCCTGTCGGAAGGGCTGGGGGTGCCTGTGGGAGCAGGAGAGGGACCAGGGAGGGGAGGCAGGAGCCCTGGGGCAGGGCCGTGGTTGTTAACAATCCTCATAGAACTGACTTCACACTTCATGCTGATTTTAAAAACTTGAATTAAAAAAACTGTAATGACATCACTTTGGAAGATGATGTTAAAAACATGCCTGTTCCATTGAACAGTTATCTGATTTTCTTGAAATGCAAGGGATTCTTCTCTGAAATAAAACTGACTACATTATAAAATGAATTACAGTTGTATAAAAACAGAATGCTGAACTTCTAGAATATAACATCCTTTAGGCTTTGGGTAAATTAAGTTTCATGGAATTAGGCTGGCTATATTTACTATGTCATGTTGAATTATTTAAAAAAATACACCAGAGATCTATCATAAATACGTTTCACTTTATAAATGCGATGGAGCTGTATCCCTGTGTACTCTGAGCACCGGGGAAGTATACTGGCAGAGGTACTATCATTTCATCCCATTGCCTGAGGCCAGTGTTCACACCCATCTTTGACACGAAGGGAAAAATACTTCCTTAGATCTGGCACCTCAGAGCTCAGGGACTTTATTACCTGAATGCCCTGGACAAGTGGCTCTGCCATCTTTCCCACTGCAAAGCTGCCGGCCCGAGGTGGTGAGGCATCACTCCCGGGTGCAGCTCAGGCAGGGCAGCAGTTTCATACTATGACTCCAAAGCAACACCGAGCATGGCGCTGGCACGTAACTTATTTCCCGGTCTATATCCCATTCTGACAGAGATGGATCATCCCTGCTCCCAGCTTTGCTTTGTATTAGGCCCCAAATATTTCCCACAGCAGCAAAACTGTAAAGAACTGAGATAAGGGAGCACCGCCCCGAGTCTGGGCTAGACCCCTGCGGGATGCAGGTGAGCTATCCCGTGCTTCCCTCATGGCTGGGGTGCGACACCTGGGCCACGTGCTGCTAGAAGCTTAAGCTGCCAGGAGAATCATTAACATGCTTTATTTATTTTGCAGCCAGGGATGATCTGAATGTGAGATAATACCTCAAACGAATGTTGCAATCTCTGGGCTTTGCAAAATCATTGTAAAGAGGATTTGAAGTTACGAGGAACCAGGGAAAAAGGAGGGTGTAATTGCATGTCAGAGAGAAGGATGGTGCAAGGGGCCCCCTGTGGTAACAAGCCAGGTAATTCCCCCCTGGGGTCCACCTACAGGCGTTTTACTGTCCTGTAGGAGATGATCAATTAACCTTTGGAGGAGGGAGTCCAATTTGAGGACACAACAATAGCGAGTGTGCCCACATCACTTGAGACATTTACATCAACATCAACTACCTGCATGGGTGAGCACAGTTCTGGTACCTTGAACACAACCACACCGCTAAGGTTTGCCCCATCTCTAATGGGAGCTTCCTAGGATGGCGGCTCAATATTCCATTTCTAAAATTCCACAGTGTAGTTTCACTTGGCTTCACCAGATCGCTTCACTAGTTTCACCAGATCGCTCTGTTCTTTATATGGCATCTGTGCCACCCAAGTGCTTCTTCAGAGTTTTCAACCACATACACCCAGAGCCTAGATTGGGTCTTCTGGGATCATCGTCTCTGGAGCTGTCAGTCTGGTCTGGGGCTTGGACAATCACAGTAGCTAAAGGGAAGGAACACTGCGTTTATCAAACGTCCCCTCTCTTTCTCCCTGAAGACTTTGGAGCCTTTGCCATGCTGCCAGGATGAAAATGCTGCCTCACCCTCCAGCCCTGCGCCCAGCAGAAAGGAATCATGTAACTTAGAAGTAGGCATGGTGTTTGTTAAAAGCTACAATGCCCATCTGTGGGTCAGCTTCCCCTAAGCAAAGTACTGAGCATAATAATCAGACCAAGTTTAACCAGCCCATTTGAAAAAAGAAAAAGAAGCATTAGAAGTTCCCCAGATGGCTGGGCGCGGTGGCTCACGCCTGTAATCCTAGCACTCTGGGAGGCCGAGGCGGGTGGATCGCTCAAGGTCAGGAGTTCGAGACCAGCCTGAGCAAGAGCGAGACCCCCTCTCTACTAAAAAGTAGAAAGAAATGATCTGGACAACTAAAAATATATATAGAAAAAATTAGCCGGGCATGGTGGCACATGCCTGTAGTTCCAGCTACTTGGGAGGCTGAAGCAGGAGGATTGCTTGAGCCCAGGAGTTTGAGGTTGCTGTGAGCTAGGCTAACGCCACGGCACTCTAGCCCGGGCAACAGAGTGAGACTCTGTCTCAAAAAAAAAAAAAAAAAGAAGTTCCCCTGACAAAGAGTATTTCAGGGAAAGTGTCATTCTAAGGAGTTCACCCAGAGTAGCCTTGACTCAGAACATGCCCTCCCTGCTGACCATGACATGCTGTGTTCTTCAAATATTTGCAGAGCCTAATGGCATTGCCTTTTCCAAACCAGAACACAAACCTAATAAACTCCTGTCACTGAATGTGATTTGTTCCTCTGAGCAGCTGCAGGGCTGGGTTTTCGGCTGTAGAGTTTGCTGTCAAGATCATCTCATTAGGAAGCAGCCTTCAAAACAGAATGACCCACCTAGTGCTCAGTTCTTGGTTTTTCTATTTATTCTCCAATGAGGGGAACCAGGGCTCCTTGGAGAAATGGCTCATTCTACAACCAAGGCAGAGAGAGACTATGCAAGACAATTACCCTGGAGTATCTGTAGTGCCAGGAGTAAGGTATTGCTTAAAAACCAAAACAATGGGGACCCGTCAAAGGGACACAGGAGCCCACCAGAAAGAGCTTCCAATGTCCAAGGCTGAAACAATCCGAGCAACATAAATAATGCAATATTGAATCACATCCCAAAGTATAAAATAAATATCCACGAGTCCGCAGCGACATAAATAAACAAATGAGGGAGAACGGAAAAATCTACACAGAATCCTAAATAATCCATCAGATACTCCCCTCTGAGGTGGGTGGAAAACGCCTTCCCACTCCTTATGTGTGAGTGACCAGTCACTTCCTTCCAAGAAGTGCAGTATGCAAAGGGCACAAGCAGCTTGACGGTGGATAAATTAGTGAACGTTACCTTGGC